GGGCCGGTATCCACCTGACAGGCCTCTTCGATCCTGCCAAATGAGAAGACCGTTGAACCAGCACCTGCAGAACCTCCAGAGGCAGAATCCCGTGGCGTTTCTCTCAGACTGGTAGCTGGTAGTCCGATGGTAGACAGCTTCCCTTTCCCTTTTTCCATTTGTGTAGGCCCCAACCATGGAGACTACCGAGACGGAACCCACCATGGAGACTCAACAGGCAGCAAGGGAACTCTTGTTTACAGCAGCTCACACACACAGATGGAATGCAGGCATTTTACATTTGGATTTATTTATATTTATATATTAATATATGTATATATATATATATGCATCTCGCAGACACATGTATACAAGAGTATGTGTCTGTTGAAGAGTATGTGTACATGTATATATGTATATACAGTATATACACATATTCTGGGCTGGGGCCGGCATCCACTGATGGAAGCAGCTTTGTTGAAAGCAAATTCCACGCAAATGGAATGTGTGTATGTTAGTTTTCAGAACCGTTTGGGGTTTTGGAGAGAGTGAGCCCCAGGCCATGCTCCTGACCAAGAATGTGAAAAAGAAAGATGGTAAATTGCTGGGTCTTCTCATTCATGCAGAGCATGCCATGAAGTTCTTGGCCGAGCCGATGGAAAGAAAAGTCTATGAAATTCGATCCAGGCCATTGAATTTCCTTGAAGAGGGCGATCAAATTGCCTTGATCAGTGTGGAAAGCAACCCCTGCCGATGGAGGGTCATTGGCATCTTGGAGTTTCAAGCTTCTGTGAAAATCAACTGGGCGCTTTTTGACAAGCACTTCCAGCTCCACCGCGTGCCCTGTGGGGAGGCATTGATAGAAAACATGAAGGAAAAGCACGACCATTGCTTTGGGTGGCACTTTGAGCTGGCTCACACTTGCAAACCTCCCCTTGTTTTCAAGGATCGTATTCTTGGTCCTCAAGTCTGGGTTTATTTCTCCGTTGGCCACCTGGAAGGGGTGAGTGTAGATGCGGACGAGGTCTTGCCAAGGAAAAGGTCAGCAGAGTCATCAGACATGGATAGCTTCAAGAGAAGCAAAACTTCACAGAGTGGGCTTTCTTCGGACGCTACTGTTGCAGCAATGCCACTGCACCTTTCCTCTGAAGATATTCATGCCGTTGAAGAACCAACAAACGAAGACGCTGATGGCAACATTTTGGAGATATGCGGAGACAACCTGCTGTCCATAGTTTTGAAAGATTCAGAGTGGTGTGGCATTTGCAAGGGAGGCACCAGCATCTTAAAACCCTACCGCACCGCAGAGGGGAAGCTGCATGTCTTAGTTTCCCGGGAAGCCGGCCTGTTCTTCGTTGGGGTGATCAGGGTTGCTGACTGCCAACAGGTGGAGCCATGCAAGCTAGGAGGTTCTTGGCCACTAGACATGTACAGCCAGTATGACCTCAAGCACATGAAGTCCTTAAAGCGGCTTTATCAATGGAGTGTGGACAGTGTTGATGCGGTAAACACAGAATCTCTGGTACGTCCGCTGCAAACAAAGCATTCTGGCAAGGCCCCATTCTGGAAGGCGCGATCTGATTTCATGTATACACCTGCATCTCCTCCAACAAGACTATGCTTGAAGGAGACGGCCCGCTACTTTTTTGATGCGTGTGGTGAGAACTACCAACAGATCCTGCTGGAGAATCTCAAATCCCTTGATGGGAAAACAATCAAGATAGGGACTGCATGCAGCGGTACGGACATCTGTGTGGAGGTGTTGAAGCAAACGGTGGAGTTTTTCAACAAGCAGCAGGCTGGGGGTCAACAACCCCTTGGGGTCCACGCATTCTAACAGTGTACGCCGTGTACGCCTCTCTTTGGCTGGTCCTGGTAGTAAACTGCCCAGTTTGGCCTTTAACAACAACATTAATGAGAAGGCAAGTCTAGCTGAAAACCCCTTTGCAGGGTCTCAATATAGCAGTTGAGCACATCTTTTCATGCGAGCTTCATCCAGACAACCGCTCCTTCCTGATGAAGGCTCATAAGGGCGTCAAGCACGTCTTCTCAGATGTGATTTGCTTCAGCGAGGATCAGGGCTTCTGCCACGTGTGCGGGTGTGAGCACAAAGTATCTGATTGCTGCTCCGTTGACTTGTTCATTGCCGGGCCTTCTTGTAAAGATGTATCACGACTGAAGTCTCAGCGGGTTGAGCACGTGGGCTGCTACGAGGACACCACTGAGGATGTGGGGACATCAGGTTATACATACCGGCATGGCTTCCTTGGTGTGGCTCGACTCTGCCTGGCATTCTATCTGTGAGTGGTATCTATATAAAACAACGGTTTCCTTTCCAGGATTTGATTGTGGTGCGGGAATGCGTGTCCAGTGTCCTTTTTTTAACATGTTTTCAGACTTCAAATCATCAAGGCAGTGAAGCTCCTTACGCCAGCGCTCGCATTCTATGAGAATGTGGCGTCTGTCTGTGATGCCTCCAAGGACGTGCACGGAAACCAAAGAGAGCAGCCCATCCAGGTGGGCTCAAGTTTTTGGGGAAGGCGACGGAGGTTCAGCAATTCCAACTATGTATGTTTTTCACTTCCGTGTTTTTGGGAAGAGGACGGATGTTCAACGATTTGTGGGCTCAAGAGAAAACCACACACCCATTATCACACATTCCAACTGTTTCTGGGCTTCCATGTCAGGTCGTGCACCGGGACATGCAAGAAGCAGGGTATGCATTTGACACTGGGTCATTGTGTAAAAGCATTTTGTGTGACTTTTT